GATAACTGGAAAATATCATAATGAATTACTGTCCACTCTCATGGGGAGTGTCACTTCTTCGTTATAAAAGGTATTTAAGGCACCCATGACGGTCTTGTCAAAGGGCTGAAGTTTATAAAATTTGGCTAGATTTCTAGTGTGGGTGTGATGGTCGTCTAATATCAGCAGTATTGGATTAATTTCTGAAGGTTTTGTCTCTTGTAGGAAGTCAAACAATTTTGTAAATAAATCTGTTGGAATCCACTCGGATGGGTCAAAAGCAAGCAGCGATTCTGGAAGTATCCGCTTTTTCTGCTGATCACTGGCTTTTTGCGTGGAAAGATAATCATGGGTTGCACAAAATCACCTGTCCCACTCATATACATAAAGATGGTTATAAGAGAGTATTTTTTTGCTGACGAAATAGCACCAACTTGTCGTTAGACCACCCTCTATATAAAGAATTCACTTTTGTAGCAGCACCTTTAAGCATCAGCATCAATTAATTTAAATTTTAAAAAGTCAACGTTAAGTATTTATTCTGGTCTACAACAACGCAACAAATCTACCTTCCTCCTGTGTTACTGAGAGATAACGCCAGCGATAAAATAGATATAATGTTTTAACTGACAAACGCACCTTGTTGGGAACATGTGTCGCCGGAATTTTCTTATATCTAAAAAATTTGTCCCAAACGAACATAAAGTTGAAATGACAAAATAGTTTTAGGACTTCAGTACTCAGATAAATGAAAAATATCGGATAATCTGTGTATAGCGTGTCTTATAAATTTTTGCTTATAAATTCGTTGTAAATATATAAGATATTTTATTGTTTCATGTAAGGGTAGTCCCGTATTTTCTGGATTAATGTGCGAAGAACATTAACAAATTAAATACTTATTATTCAAATTCGAAGTAAACAATATTGAATTAATCTAAGGAATTAAAGAATATATAAATAACAAAACTCAAATAATCCTAATCGTAACCTCAAAGACGAAGAAGTAAGTTATCCAGAACGTCGAATGATACATAAATTGCAAATGTCGTCTACTTTTAGTGACCGCAGAAATACAGTCACAACACATAAGAAAACACCAAGAAAGCTGAAATGGTGTCATTTCATCGAAAAACTTGGCACTGAAAAATCAAACCTATTGTTCATACTCTTTTCTGCTCCAGCTAAGTGCTATATTTGCAAATGGAATATAATTTATAATAGCCGAGAAATATCAGCAAAATATTTTTTTTGGATTTTCATTGCTAAGTATTCCATTTTCACTACAGATTCTTTCTTTTTTTTTCGTACGGAAGTTCCAGAAATAGCAAGTCATTAAAAAAAATAAATTCGGGTTTTCAGTAGTTAACCGTTAAGACAGTTAACTACCCTGACATTTTTTCTCACTTTAATGAATTTAAAAACAAAATGTGAATATGATTTTTATAAATAAAAAATCTCTTTAATAGAATAGCAAATCATTTTTATAAAAACTTCGATTTTCAACTGCAGCAAAGGAAACTTCATAAAATTTATTTTGGTACCACAAAAAGCTCTTGACTGGCGTCTATTTAAATAGAGGTTTCGGCACTAAAATCTATTTTTTCTGCGATTGGAAAACTTGGTGTGACAGGAATTAAGTACGAAACCCAGCCAGTTTCCCCTGTAAAGCGTTTGAGTATAGAGGCTAGATATTTTGCTACAGAATAGGTTAGAGGACCAATGTTGCTAACAATACGTTGAAGTTGTAATGTTGGTTGTGGATTTCGGTGAGTCTTTCGAAAAGAGGAATTTTGAGTCGTGTTCTCTATAACCCCTCACGACTATAAAATTATTGGTTTCTACAGATTTCCCAAGATTCCCAAACCCATATCACCGCTTCATCCTGTTATTACCACCATTGATTCTCCAACCTATTCTTTAGCTAAATCTCTAGCTTCTACATTAAAACATTTACTTCATTTTAAAATTAAAATCCATTACATTAAGATCCTGACAATCTTCTGCTTAATTTCGTAGAATCTTTTTACTAACGTTCCTATTTCTGAAACTCTCAACATAATTTTATATATATATTACTATTTTCTCATGTTAATTGAAAAATGCATGTCTGGAAAAAATAAAAACAAATACTAGGAAGAGCTATGGGTTCTCCATTATCACTAGTCATTGCGAATATATTCATGCAAGCTTTTGAGAGTTTAAATGGCTAAGAAAATCTTGGAGGGATTCTTAAGTATAAGGCCAAATAACAAAAATATCATCAAGCATAATTTTGGTTTACATAGTGTCGATGGAGAACCCATAGCTGTTCCTGACGTTTGTTCATAAATTTTACCGTTACAAAAAACTTATGTTCCAGACAAACATTTTTCAATTAAGATGTGAAGGTTTGGTTCCATGTTCTCAGATTTTAATATATCTAAAATAATGTTGACATTTTCAGAAACAGGGACTTTAGTTAATACGGTTCTGCCCTACCTATTGTCCCCAACGAAGAAATTATTTCAAATTTCGAGTCTATTTGAAACCGCAAGTATCCTTAAAAAATCCAAACATCTTAAGCCAAGCCTGAGCATATAGCTCTAAAATCTGTAAAATCTAATCCCGATATCGTAATTCAAAAAACAGATAAAGATGATCATAAACACAACTGGTTATCAGGAAAATATTCAACATTAACATGTTAGATGCTGATGATAAAACTAACAATTCTAACAACTAACAATAACAATTCCCGACACTTTTGTGTGAAAAGCTCATATGTTATTCCGTCACTAAAAAACCAATTCACCAAGGGAATTGAAAGATCCGAGCCCCATTGCCTACATTATCTAAAGTTTTCGGGCGTACACTTAATAAACAACTGAAGCGACATTTAGATGACACTGGGGTTTTGCCTGCAGTGCAGTCAGGTTTTCGAGTGAACCACAGCTATTCAGCTGCTTTGTTAAAAGTCACCGACGATATTTTTGTTGCTGCACAACGTGGCGAATTAACTATCTTGATTCTCTTAGACTATAGCAAAGCCTTCCACAAACTCGATCACACTTTAATTGCTATTTTGGGTTATGCTTATTACAAAACTTCTGGATTCCTCCTGCGTCGGTTTTTGCTTAGTCGAAATTGCTGACGTTTCGCCAATCATCCTGTTGGCTCAGGATGATTGGCGAAACATCAGCATTACCGTAGCCTGTGGAAGGTTCTTTGAAAAATTTTGGGTTATCTTCGATTTCACGAGAACGCCTTATCAGTTAATGAAAACTATTGAACTGAGAGGCTGCTGATGGTTTACTTAAATGGTCGCACATAATCTCCGACATATAGCTTGCGGTGTTTTCCAGGGTTCAATTCTCGGTCCCGTACCTTTCTCCCTATATACGTCTCATCTAATAGGGCACTTGCAACGACACTCAGCTGTATATCTCGTTTAATCCAGAAAATATCGCAGACGCCAATGATAAAATTAATTCTAATTTAAAAACTCACAGGTGCTACCCTTTGCAAAAAGTCAATATATAAATTTATACTCTAAACATGTTAGGGTTTATCTCGAAGACACTTTACTGAAACTTATTGAAAACGCAAGGAACCTAGGATTGGTTATGGATAGCGAGCTAAAGTTTTCGGGACATGTCAGCAATTGTATTTGCAAAGCTTGTTGTAATCTAAATCTTATTTATGCCCAAAAAAATTTATTAAATAAAAACTTTATGCGATTCCTGAGTACCATCCCATTTTTATTTTGCCGACACCGCATACGGGCCTTGTGTTTTAGACTTGATGCCCAAACGAATTCAATTAATGCAGAACCCTTTCGTTCGGTTAATATGCGAAAAACTTAGGGAAATTAAGTGGCTGAATATGAGCAAAAGATGTACATTACATGCACCAGCTCTTTTTCACAAAATTATTGGTAGTCCAGGTTACCTCTATAAGAATATCAAATACCGTTACGACATTCATAAGTTGGATATCCATCAACAATTCACAATCACCACACCTAAACATGTATCTGCTTCCTCCGAACGTTCGTTTTCATTTGTAATATCTAAATTATATGACAAAGTCCCACCTAATAATAGACAATTAATTGGTGACAAATTTAAATAAGCTATCAGGCCAATTATTTAGCATTTTCTAACTTGATGCTGGCTCCGCCGCGCTGCCTGTTACTTCGATCTTCGTACTTCATCCTTCTGTTCAATTATTGATTAAGTAAGTTAATACTAATTAACATTCTAAGATTACTTTAATGGCTGCTTTTGGTTAGCGACAGCCTGTTGCGTCGTTACCTGAAGGCAGTATTTAGGTTAAGTTAGAAGGGTCTGCCTCAACTTCGTCTTTTGTGGTCCTTTCAATAAAGCCTCTTATTATAATAATAACAATAATTATTATTATTATTATTATTGTTATTATAATTATTATTAAGACTTCTTCTCTATTAGAATCTGTGAAAAAGTCCGTCAACCCTCATGACTCTAAAACTACTAGCTTTTTCGAACTCCCTCACAAAGATTCACAAAACAGGATTACCTCTTGGGCCTTTTGTCAGCACAATTGGTTCTCCGACATATTATCTAGCAAAATATCTAGCATCTATATTAAAACCCTTTACAAGGAAAACTGATGGTTTGGTACTTAATTTTCAATTCATTGAAAAATTAGAAACCATGACATTGGATCCGAACGATATTCTATTCAGTCTCTCTTTACTAAAATGTCTATTCCTGAAACTCTCAATATTATTTCCGATATATTTTAATCCGAGAACAAACGTCAGGAACAAAACTCTGGGCTCTCCATTACCATTTTCGTAATGGGAATCAGTCACCCGAGACAATGTTCAATTGTGTTACAGTAGCCGGTGGAAGTTCCTTTAAAAAAAATTATCATTAATATTTAAGCTCGAAAAATAGATTGTAAAGTTAAACCCAAGATTTAAGAGTCATGTTGAATTAATTAGGCAAATCTCTTATTAGTTTTCCATAAGTTGATTAAAACTGATTTATTTGTTTCAGTGGCTTCAAAAACGGTTAAAATGTGCGGCACCGAAAAAGAAATTGCTCTCGAGCCACATTCAGAATCGTCATCCTTTATCGTATCTTTCGATCCAACCGCGAAACGATCCATGTGCCGTCTGCGAGTAACCGCCCCCAAAACTCACGTTGTCAATCTGCAATTTTTAGAAGAAGAACAGAAATCACTTCCAAAAAACGATTCCCTTCCATTCGAGAAGCCTTCCCCATGCACAATGAGCATAGTAAGTATAGAATATTGGATATGAATTTTTAAAAAATTTACCAAGCTATTTTTACGCGCGATTTTCGCAATTGAATTGGTTATGAAATTAATAAGCAGTACAGGGTGTCCCATAAGTGATGGTAGATGGCAAAATAATAGATTCTTTAAATAAAAATATTGCGACTTAACGAAACTTACCTTGGCACAAAAATTGCAGATCCAGCGTTCCAAAATTGCAATTTCGTTTTTGATTTTTTTTTTGATTTTGATAAAATTTGGCAAATCGGTGATTTTTTACGCGCACAAAAAAGATATACTGTTTTCAAGAAATTTTGGTTTGAAATTTTCCTAAATGAGACACCCTGTATATTATTTGATTTTCGAATAGCCACTTTAAAGCAATTTCCGTTTTGGTGTAATTGGCAGATAAAATTAAAAACTAAATTAAATTATTAAGATATGAAACTGGGAATTGGCTCCTTATCAGCTTGTTCACAACCGTCTTAGAGCATTTTTAAAAAGTCATATTAAAAACAGAATAATAAGCTTTGCTCAATGTTGCCAAATTTCGCAAGTTTCTACGTTCAAATGTCTACGTGAAAGGATTACCAAAAATTAACATGAACTACTAATGCATATTACTTGGTAGTAAAATTAATTAAATTAGTTTTTTAATACGTCCGCCGTTTTGAAGAATACATGTAGTATATGCTATTTCTAAATGGTACATGGCATCTGAGATGTATTTCGTTTCATTAACATAGTGTATTGCCGCGCGAACTCGTTGCTGCACTTAAAAAACTGTTGCCGGTTTATCTTTGCAAACCATATGTTTAAATGCGTACCACAAAAAAAAGTCCATCGGGGTCAAATCTGGACTCCTCTCTGGCCAGGAGATGGTTCCGTTTTGTCCAATCCACTCTCTGAAATTGTCGTTCAAAACACGAATGATCGCATCACCTCGATGGTAAGGAGCGCCATCTTGCTGCCAAATTAAATTTGGATGTTCTCTTTGCGGAATATTATTACGTATAAGTGGCTGAATTTCGTCCCTTAATAAGTTTAAATATCGTACGTAAGTTAAATTTTGTTGGAAAAATATGGGTCCCAAAATTCTAGATCTCATTGCTCACCATACTTTCACGGATCTCCGCCCCAGCTTATTTACTTCAAAAACACATCATTATATTCAAAATTCGAGTCTTAAGGTAAAACCTGATTCTTGCAGTTTTTGTACTGGAATTTAAATGGCTTAAATGGAAAATAGTGACCGAAAAAATATGCTTAAAATATTATAATACACTGGTACCTGTCAAAAAATCAGTAATACTAACACAACAGAGAACTACTATTGTTTTCAAAGCTACTGCGATGATTATGTCATCAATTTTATGTTTGTGTCTTTCAACAGGCGGGTCTCTAAAGGGTGTTTTTTTTCGATGTATAGAACTTTAAGTTGCGATGGATTATTCGATTGACGTGAACTTTATTTATCCGAAAGATAATCTTGAGGCATTACATGTTAAATATGATTTCTGGCAAATGACCGCCACAGCTGGCGCGGATGTAACCCAATCTGGACTTCCAATTTTCGATGACTTTTTTCAACATTTGTGGCCGTAAATCGGCAATAACACGGCGAATGTGGTCTTCGAAATGGTCAAGAGTTTGTGGCTTATCCGCATAGACCAATGACTTTACATAGCCCCTCAGAAAGTAGTCTAGCGGTGTTAAATCACAAGATCTTGGAGGCCAATTCACAGGTCCAAAACGTGAAATTAGGCAGTCACCAAACGCGTCTTTCAACAAATCTTTTGTGGCACGAGCTGTGTGACATGTTGCGCCGTCTTGTTGAATAAATTCAGGAATAAAAGAATTAGTAATCATAGCTCTATACCGAACACCATTGACTGTAACGTTCTGGCCATCATCGTACCAATACAATACAATACCAGTGCGGACCAATGATTCCACCAGCCCATAAAGCGCACCAAAAAGTCAGTTTTTCTAGATGTAACGGTGTTTCGACATACACTTGAGGATTACCTTCGCTCCAAATGCGGAAGTTTTGTTTGTTGACGTAGCCATTCAACCAGAAATGCGCTTCATCGCTAAACAAAATTCGCTTATGAAAATCGGGAACAACGTTTTGGGCCCATTCTATGAATCTACGCCTTACTTGATGATCGTTTGACTTAAATTCTTACACGAGTTGAATTTTGTAAGCACGTAAACCAAGATCCTTCCGCAAAATCTTCCATAAAGTGGATGGACAAATATCCAATTCCTGTGCTCGATGGCGGATGGACTCATTCGGGTCTTCCTCAATGCTACGCTCTACAACAGCAATAGGTTCTTCTGTAAGCACGGTACGGCGTCTCTGGGGATGCGAGTTATCAATAAGAGTAAACGTGGTGCGAAAATGTTCCATGGTTAATCGAATTAACTGCTCTGATGGACGATTTTGTCGACGATAAAATGGACGTAGTGCGCGATACGTATTCCGCACAGAACCATTATTTTCGAAATAAAATTGCACTATTTGCAAGCGCTGTTCAGGCGTGAGTCTATTCATGATGAATTGCCAAACCAAACTGAAAATAAATCACTTGACAGCTGTTAAATCGGTCGCCATCTTGAACAGTAATACCAACTTAAAGTTCTTTCCATAGAAAAAAAACACCCAATATATATTTCTTAAAGACATTTGGTCTATATTATTAAGAAAATGACTATTTTTTTAAAGTTTTTTTTTTCATTTAAAGACCTTATTTACAAGATTCAATATAAAAGAATTTATGTATTATTGGAAAATAATTGCCATTCAAGCCAAAACGGTAAGTCAGAGACACGTACTAGTTTATATAATTGAAATTGCTATTAAAGTGGCTATTTGAAAATCCAATAATTTACAGAGTGTCGCATTTAAGAAAACTGAGAAAAGTATAATTTTGCGAAACATGGCAACACCGAATATTCTAAGAAAATATTTTAAATTTGATCATAGGGTAAAGAAAAGTAGTAGATGGAATTTTTTTTAAAAAGCTAATAATCAACCCAATAACGATGCTTTAAACATAACATGAATTCTGAAGAGGATCGCTAATAAGTTCGAAACGGTGCATGACAGACTAATACTCATGTATATCGTTGAATTTGTCTTTGAAAGAACTATTCAAGAATGCAATAAAATGTGGGGTGTTCTATTTAAAATATTGTAACTTTGTTTTACCACCACCAGAAAGTGACGATTAGGAAAATACAAAAGAAGGTCATTTTAATAAAAACAACTTTGGTTGTGTAGGTTTCCAAATAGGCCCACTGAAATGTTCGCCTATTTCGTAATATAACCGCCTAGCTTCCGGCGCACTGCCATCAGCCAAACCATATATAAAATGCATATCTGCCAACTCCTCATTAGTAAACTCGACCATTCTTTCTTAAAATAACAATGCTCTAATATCTAAAACACAAAATTAGTAAGACGCGAAGAACTGACTTTAAAAACTATCAAATAAATGCATTGACAACAGAATTAATAATTCTTACAGACCCAGCCCATCCTATTACCATGATAAGAAATATTAATAAATATTTCTACAATACACCGCGATTTTTTGAAGTATTTTAATAAAACAGACACAAGTAAGAAATAATAATTATAATATTTATCTGCATTCTAGGTCATCCGAACGATTTTGTTATCACCATGCAGAGAAGAAGTTTTACTTTTTACTTCAAGAAATTAAATTTCTTTAGAATTGATACGATATTATAACAATAATTTTTATTTGTGAAATGTCATACGCCCGCCACTGGTTTATTTTAAAAAAAATATACATGTGTGCCAAATTTCATTAAAATATCCTAAAGTAGTATTACCGATATTAAAAAATATATATTTTGTTTGTGACCCTGCATCTCTAAAGTTAAGACGTTAACATGCAATTGCAACCTTAAAAAAACATCTTTAGAAACTAATTTTTACAAAACTTCTAAATTCCTCCTGCGTCGGTTTTTGCTGAGTCGAACTTGCTGACGTTTCGCCAATCATCCTGTTGGCTTCTTCAGAGCTGGACTGAAACTGGCTCGCATTTTTACTCTGTACCTGTTTATATATTGTTTAGGGGGCGAAGCTAAATTAGGGGCATAAACACTGTCTCGGATGACTAATTCCCATATTGGTGATAGGTAGAGACCTGAGTCGCGGCAAAAAATACATTGGAGAAACGGAACGAAAAATATCAACTAGACTCAAAGAACACGAAAGAGCTTTACGACCAAGACAAATAAACACAATCTCGAAACAGCACATAAAATTTTATTCGATAAAACTAAAATTCTTGCATGTAATCAATTCTTCTACCAACGAAAAATCTATCTATAGAAATCTATAAAGAAAATAACAATCTTAACCCAGATCTCTACCTGTCACCCCTATACTTTTCATTTAGTGCCGGCCCCCTCAAACAATATATAAGCAGATACAGAGTAAAATGCGAGCCAGGTTCAGTCAAGCTCTGAAGAAGCCAACAGGATGATTGGCGAAACGTCAGCAAGTTCGACTCAGCAAACACCGACGCAGGAGGAATCCAGAAGCTTTGTGAAAAGTATTACAGTAGCCTGTTGAAGTTTCTTTGAAAAATCTTTAGGAACTTCTAAAGAATGTTGATTCGTGATTAATGATTAATAATTCACAAACATAAAGTGGCAAAAAATTTAAAAATTCTGCAAGTGAAAAAGTGACTACGTTATTTTTTTCTATTTACTGCTCACAGTCACACGGAATTTATATCCAATAATTACTACGGATTGCGCAATGTACACAATAATTTATATATGTTCTCCTATTGGTCTGTCTCAATCCACAATTATGTTATGGTCCTGACAGTATTTATCTGCTGCTGCTTCGAAATTGTGCGTTTGTTTGGGTTCGAACATGGCGGATGTGACTGTCAACGAGATATCGATAAGACAGTTTTTCATATGCTATCTGTGTGAGAGATATTTTGAGTTTGG